GCCAGGAAGTCTGTTGGCCTCACCACCGCCAAGGACGTCAAGCGGAAGTGCATGGCCATTCTACTAACCGCCTATGAGTGCGAGGGAGGAAACATCAACCCTCTTGGGCCAGGGGATTCTGTTCGCTATCTCGACCTCCAGTTTAACTGGAAAGGCTGCATCATCCCCAACCACACCAGCAAGTTGGACTCCCTGCTTCAGGAGCTCTTGCGGGCACTGCTAAAGCTGCAACAGCGGATGCAGTTGCTGAAAACATTCCTGGTGCCCAAATTCACACATGAGCTTGTCCTAGGTCACGTGCATAGAAACACACTAAGAAAGCTGAACTGTTTGATCCGCGCGACGGTGAGACGCTGCCTGCACTACCCAAAGACACCCCAGTTGGCTACGCTAACATCAAGGATGGAAGCCTGGGAGTGCCCTGTTTTGCCACATCGATCCCGCTGCTCCAGGCATCGCAACTTGAGAAGATTGCATCCCACCCCACCATGCTGTTACAGATGGTGCAGCAGCAGAATGCCTTCAGTCTTCTGCGGCACTGGATGAACCAGCCATGCAGAGTCAACACTGCAGTAGTGACAATGAAGGCTAAGGTGCCGGAGGAATGGAAAAACATGATCTTTACCTCAATCGATGGTCAGGAGCTGGTGTCCCCAAGATCGATGCAGCCAGCCATGATTGACTATTGCACCCCTCCCGAGTGTTCCCCCATCTATATCTGAGGGGTGGCGTACTCCCTACTAGAGCATGGAGTGCACAAGGTGCCAATCGGCAAATCACCAACAAGAGCTGCAGAGGAGCCTGCCAGGCCCCAGAGATGATCAACCACGTCCTGAAAATTTGTGAGGTGACACATGATGTGCCCAACACAATCGCGTCATACAGCACTTGGACCAATTCCTGCACCAACAAGGCATCCACCTGAGTGTCAAACCCATCATAACATGAGGCACGTTATTCATCAAACCAGATTTAATCATGGAGGTAATGAACCAGCTATTGGTCATGGATGTCTCTGTGGTTGCCGGTTATCGAATGCAGGGGACCTGGGACATCAAGGTCTCAAATTACGGACAGCCTGACTGTGTCATCGCTATCCACTGCTGGGCCATTTCCCCCTCCGTTTCAGTGCAACATCTCCTTATTGTTATCTCGAACCAGGGACTGCTCTATGAACCGGGTGCAGGACTACAGACTTTGGGCTTGAGCCGAAGAGGCATTATGGATTTATGCATCCTTACCATTACCTGCTCACTCAAATGTTATGACCTTTATATGCGTGGAACAGGGAAAGGTTGATACTGGACCTTGGTGGACATGTGATTAATGATCCGCCATTCAGCGGCAATTCTACTAGTGCGACCATCTATTAGCAATTTATCGCTCTTCGGGGGGTTTGCCCCTCTAATAATTTATGTAATGTAGCCAAATGCTTCGTCATCCTAACTCTAACCCTAACCCTAATTCGATTCCCACTGTCCCACTGTGAGAAGAGAAATACAGGTGAAACTCGAAAAATTAGAATATTGTGCAAAAGTTCATTTATTTCAGTAATGCAACTTAAAAGGTGAAACTAATATATGAGATAGACTCATTACATGCAAAGCAAAATAGTTCAAGCCTTGATTTGTCATAATTTTGATGATTATGGCTTACAGCTCATGAAAACCCCAAATTCACAATCTCAGAAAATTAGAATATTACATGAAATCAATAAAACAAGGATTGTACATAGAACAATATCGGACCTCTGAAAAGTATAAGCATGCATATATACTCAGTACTTGGTTTGGGCCCCTTTTGCATCAATTACTGCCTCAATGCGACGTGGCATGGATGCTATCAGCCTGTGGCACTGCTGAGGTGTTATGGAAAACCAGGATGCTTCAATAGCTGCCTTCAGTTCTTCTGCATTGTTCGGTCTCATGTCTCTCATCTTTCTCTTGGCAATGCCCCATAGATTCTCTATGGGGTTCAGGTCAGGCGAGTTTGCTGGCCAATCAAGCACAGTAATCCCATGGTCATTGAACCAGGTTTTGGTACTTTTGGCAGTGTGGGCAGGTGCCAAGTCCTGCTGGAAAATGAAGTCAGCATCCCCATAAAGCTCGTCTGCGGAAGGAAGCATGAAGTGCTCCAAAATCTCCTGGTAGACGGCTGCATTGACCCTGGACTTAATGAAGCACAGTGGACCAACACCAGCAGATGACATGGCTCCCCAAATCAACACAGACTGTGGAAACTTCACACTGGACTTCAAGCATCTTGCAGTGTGTGCCTCTCCATTCTTACTCCAGACTCTGGGTCCTTGGTTTCCAAATGAGATGCAAAAGTTGCTCTCATCAGAAAAGAGGACTTTGGACCACTGAGCAACAGACCAGTTCTTTTTTTCTTTAGCCCAGGTAAGATGCTTCTGATGTTGTTTGTTGTTCAGGAGCGGCTTGACGAAGAATACGACATTTGAAGCCCATGTCCAGGATCCGTCTGTGTGTGGTGGCTCTTGATGCACTGACTCCAGCCTCAGTCCATTCCTTGTGAAAGTCCCCAACACCTTTGAATGGCCTTTTCCTGACAATCCTCTCCAGGCTGCGGTCATCCCTGCTGCTTGTGTACCTTATTCTTCCACACTTTTCCCTTCCACATAACTTTCTATTAATGTGCTTTGATACAGCACTTTGGGAACATCCAACTTCTTTTGCAATTACCTTTTGAGGCTTTCCCTCCTTATGGAGGGTGTCAATGATGGGTTTCTGCACAACTGTCAGGTCAGCAGTCTTTCCCATGATTGTGATTCCTACTGAACCAGACTGAGAGACCATTTAAAGGCTCAGGAACCTTTTGCAGGTGTTATGGCTTAATTAGCTGATTAGAGTGGGAACTTTGAGCCTAGAATATTGAACCTTTTCACAATATTCTAATTTTCTGAGATTGTGAATTTGGGGTTTTCATGAGCTGTAAGCCATAATCATCAAAAGTATGACAAATTAAGGCTTGAACTATCTCGCTTTGCATGTAATGAGTCTATCTCATATATTAGTTTCACCTTTTAAGTTGTATTAAAAAAGAAGGTATAAGAAATGTGACGTGAGATGGGAATGGTGTCTTTTGCTCAATAACAGTCCTTGTAGGATCTGCAATGTGTCATTGGACCCCATTGCAATGGTTTAATAATGTATGTTTTGTTGTAAAATTGCATTGCTATGTTGGCTATTCATGTTCCAAATTCCTCATGAAATAAACCTCTGCATCTTAAAGTAAGATTTATTGCTTATGATCTGTCTGTGTTCCTCTTTATTGGGATATTTTTATGACACTACCTACTATCTAGCGAAACCACAGCCAAGGGAACAAGCTTGGCAGAATCAGCGGGGAAAGAAGACCCTGTTGAGCTTGGCTGTAGTCTGGCCCTGTGAAGAGACATGAGAGGTGTAGAATAAGTGGGAGGCCTGCCCAGGCTGCCGGTGAAATCCCACTACTCTGATCATTTTTTCACTTACCCGGTGAGGGAGGGAGGCGAGCCCTGAGGGTCTCTTGCTTCTGGCTACAAGTGCCCGGCACGTGCCAGGTGCAATCTACTCCAGGGACAGCACCAGGTGGGGAGTTTGACTGGGGCGGTACACCTGTCAAACCGTAACACAGGTGTCCCAAAGTGAGCTCAGGGAGGACAGAAACCTCCCGTGGAGCAGAAGGGCAAAAGCTGCTTGATCTTGATTTACAGTACGAATACAGACCGTAAAAGCGGGGCCTCACAATCCTTCTGACTTTTTGGGTTTTAACCAGGAGGTGTCAGAAAAGTTACCACAGGGATAACTGGTTTGTGGCGGCCAAGCGTTCACAGTGACGTGTGCTTTTTTATTCTTCGATGTCGGCTCTTCCTATCATTGTGAAGCATAATTCACCAAGCATTGGATTGTTCACTAATAGGGAACATGAGCTGAGTTTAGACCGTCGTGAGATAGGTTAGTTCTACCCTACTGATGATGTGTTGTTGCGCTAGTAATCCTGCTCAGTACGAGAGGAACCGCAGGTTCAGACCTTTGGTGTATGCATTTGGCTGAGGAGCCAATGGGGCAAAGCTACCATCCCTGGGATTATGATTGAATGCCTCTAAGTCAGAATCCCCCCTAAACGTAAAGATACCACAGCGCCGAGGAGCCTCAGTGGAGTGCAGCCGGAAGGGGGCTGCCTCTCGCCCACGGCGAAGCGCACGTTTGCGGGGAACCCGGTGCTAAATCATTCGTAGACAACCTGATTCTGGGTCAGGATTTCGTGTGTAGCAGAGCAGCTCTCTCACTACGATCTATTGAAAGTCAGCCCTCGACACAAGCTTTTGTCTGTCCGTTGCAAGTGAGCGGAGTGTGGGCGGCTCCCTTGGAGGGGCCGCGGGGCTCCTGCCTGCCTACCTCCATTCTGAGGGCAGGGGGTGGTTGGTGGTGGTGGCCACGGGACGGCGGCCCCAGGTGTCGCGGTCCCTGCCGGCTTTGCGGTAGACCAGGGCTGGGTGCGGGACTCCAGTTCGGGGTGGGTGGGGAGACGGGAAGAGGAGGAGGAGTGGGGGAGAAGGCCGGCAGCCTGTCTAAAGGCAGATCCGCTGGTAGACCGGTGCCCAGACGACAAACTTAGTTTTCTTTTTCTTTTTTTTCCTTTCCCCGTCTGCCGGGGTCTCTATCTCTGTTTCTGTCTCTGTGCCTCTGTCTCTCTCTCTCTCTCTCTCTCTCCCCCCCTCCCTCCCTCTAGGTGATTTATTTTAATGTTTTAACTGCCTGTGTTTTCTAGTTTTTATAAGAATTTGCTGAAAGATGGGCAGCTATATAAATGTTTTAAATAAATTAATAAATACTTGGAGATGGACTCTACCATTTTTTTTTTAAATGATGAAGTTGACATACATTTTTAACAGAAAAAAATGTAACCGTTTAATATTAACCTAAGAGGTTATTTATTATTATAAACAAGCGAAGGATAGAATATATTAACAATATATTAATTACCTTCCACTCAGGATCATTGCAGATGACAATTACCCTCATTCATTATGATTATCAATAATTAGGATAAGCGGGAGGAGTAAAGTCATCAATAGAACATAACAGACTACTATCTTAAATATTAAAACAGCATGAAAAACATTAACTATCAAAGTGGGGAGGGAGGGAGGGAGGGAGGGAGAGAGAGAGAGAGAGAGAGAGAGAGAGAGAGAGAGAGAAGGAGAAACATCCTACATATATCTGAAGCCATGTTTGTCACCAGATATTGGAGACGATTCTTATGAAATGGAAGAGATGGGAGCCTCTGGGGAGCCCATTTCCCTCAGCACCTTATCCAGCCATATCAAAGCTCCATGAAGATGGATCTCCACCCAACACGGGGTGCTGGTGATTGCCTGGCGATGGTATCCTGCTCCCCAGCCCTACAGAAGAGACCAACAAATGGCAAAGGATGAGAAGATTGTGGCTGCATTCTTCATTCTATTCAAGAAGACACTTTCTTGATTTTAGTCAAATACACCCATTACCTTTCCTTTGCATTTTGAAGTACTGAGAAGTCATACAATCGTGGATAGGGTTAGGACACATCTAATAGAAATATGTGGACTAATGCGAATTGCATTAGTATTACTTCAACTCATACAGCATTCATCAGCAAGGAAGAATTAAGGAAGCTGAGTCTAATACGGAGTTACTTCTGCCAGACTTTCAGTTCATTGAATGGTTTTTCCTCTCCCTCTGGGGTAGGCTTAATTACCATTCATTCTTTTCCTACACAAATCCACACAATGCTGTTGTTTAAATTATGCCACTTTTTGAAGATGTAATGATTATGTAAGTGAAGTCTATTATATACCGTGTTTCCCCGAAAATAAGACCCTGTCTTATATTTTTTTGAACCCTGAAATAAGCACTTGGCCTTATTGCCATGCACTCAAAAGCCCGATTGGGCTTATTATCAGGGGAGGTCTTATTTTGGGGGGAAACAGGGTAGTCTCTCATGATTGAATCCTTGGTTATATTTTCAAAGTTAAACCTGAATCTGAAGAGAGTGAGTGCTGTAATCACAGCACAGAAGGCTTTGTGGAATTTTAAGCAGATCTACCATCTCCTTCCAGAAATCAAGTTCAGAATAAACTTCCCCTTCAAAGTTAAAACAGAGAGATATAGGAGAAGAGGTAGCAGAACCTGAGGGCAGAATGAAAAGAGGGATCAGCCTAGGATTCCTGGGTAGCTATGTAGTGAAGTACGTCCAACCTGCCCCTTGATTGCCTTTGACTCTTATCTAGCTCTAACTAGGTGCTGACCATTAGTTGAAAAGATTCCTCTGAATAGGCTTTTAGCAATAAATCAGTTTAACTGAATCTTCACATATGGGCTTGGTCTTTAGCGCCTGACAGTTTGACTGCTTTGCCTTATTTATTTATTTATTTTTATATGCCTTGTTCTTAATCATCATAACATTGACTAATTAGTTATTAATTTGCTTTTGATGCCATCCGATTCCAACTGACTCTGCAACCCAATCTAATTTTAAGTGTTGTGCCAGCCTTGTTTATTGGTTATTCTGGTTCTGCCTCTTTCAGAGTGTGGCCTATGCATGCTACGCAAGGACTGCTCCCAGGATGCATGCTTCTGTTCTCACCAAACAAGTGAGAATAGAGTACCTTGGAGTACTCATATCTAATGAACTAAGTGCCAAAGTCCACTGTAACAACATTGCCAAAAAGGCATTAAGAGTTGTAAACCTAATCTTGCGTAGCTTCTCCGGTAATATCACACTATTAACCAAAGCATACAAAACATTTGCTAGACCAATTCTCGAATACAGCTCATCTGTCTGGAACCCGCACTGCATATCGGACATTAATACAATCAAACGTGTCCAGAAATATTTCACAAGAAGAGTCCTCCACTCCTCTGCTCACAACAAAATACCTTATGCCACCAGATTTGAAATTCTGGGCCTAGAAAACTTAGAACTACACTGTCTTTGGTATGACCTAAGCATAGCTCATAAAATTATCTGCTACAATGTCCAACCTGTCAATGACTACTTCAGCTTCAACCACAACAATACACAAGCAAATAATAGATACGAACTCGAGGTAAACCACTCCAAACTCGATTGCAGAAAATAGGACTTCAGCAACAGAGTGGTAATGCCTGGAATGCTCTACCTGACTCTGTGGTTATATCCTCAACCACCCCATAACTTTAACCTTAGACTGTCTACTGTTGACCTCACCCCATTCCTAAGAGGTCTGTAAGAGGCATGCATAAGAGCACCAATGTACCTACTATCCGTCCTAATGTTTCCTCTATTTGTATCTATTTTATGTATCCAATCCATGTTTATGCTTATATATATTACCTAATACGTTCTTGACAAATAAGTTAAATTAAATAAATAATCACCCTGTCTGTTGGATGACTCTGACAGTGAGGGCAGCCATGAAGGCTACTTATTTCTTGATGGAGGAGGAAGAGGAATCATGTTTTTCAAAACAGTGCTGAGCAAAGCCTTGGTTAACTAGGCCTGAGAAGAAGACCTCCAAGGTCCCTTCCATCCCTATGGTTCTAAGTTCTATGAAAAGCCCTTGGGGACCAGAAAGCAGAAGAACAGGTATGGAAAGGCCCAGATCCCACCTTTGCTGGAGAGGCTGTGCTGGTCTTCCTTGATGCAGAAGTCACCCTATAGCGGAAAGCCTAACTCTTCCCAGTGTGTGTGTCCAAAGAAGTGCACTGCAGTACCAGCAAATTTGGTCTCCAGACAATTATGAAAGCTACACGTCTTATATGAGAGACTAATACTATATCGTGGCTACCTTTTTCTCAAAAAAATCCCTTTTCTGCAGTTCCAATGTATACCATAGAAAAGGCAGAAAAATGCCCCATTGATTCATTATCCCCCAATAGGTGCTTTCCTATTGTCATTAGCAGCATAAGAGGGTAATAAAATAGTCTTCCCCAAATGTGAGGCATGGGCAAACTTCATGACTTGATCCAGACTTTCTAGATTGCAAATGCCTAGAGGGGTGACTAGCGTAGTAAAATGCCAATGTGTTGGGATATTCTGAGCTGCAAAGCCCAAATCTTTTGCAGACACCATAGTGACAGCAACCAAGAAGTTCCTCTCAGTTGAGGATGCATCCATTGCCTATTTGAAAAAGGCCTCTAGAGCCATGTGAATATGAGGGGCTACATCCCCAAAGGGCTTCTCTATAGGCTGTCTAATAAAAGCCACCTGTTCTGCTCACCTCATCTTTAAAATGTGAGCCAGAATGGAAAACTTCACTCAAAAGAGAAAGTGCAGCTCTTTCAGAATTAAAATGCTGAACTTACATAAACACATACAAGCACACAAAATCCTATCAGCCAAAAGAATATAATCATTTATAAAAGCAATGAAACCATCAGCAGCATTCCCAACAGTGGTGGGAGTCAAAATTGTTTACTACTGGTTCTGTGGGCATGGCTTGGTGGGCGTGGCAGGGGAAGGATACTGCAAAATCCCCATTTCCTCCCAATCAGCTGGGACTCGGGAGGCAGAGAATCGATGAGGGCGTGACCAGTCAGAGGTGGTATTTACCGGTTCTCCGAACTACTCAAAATTTCCGCTACCGATTCTCCAGAACTGGTCAGAACCTGCTGAAACCAACCTCTGATTCCTAACCTTGACTATTTGGAGAAAATTTATCTGAGCTTAGTGGGTCTCACTCACTCCCAAGAAAGGAGGTGCAGGACTGCAGCCTTTAGAAATGGTTTTAGCTCAGGGCTAGTTCTGAGAGTCCCAAAAAGTTCAAGGAGCATGGATATGGATTTTAGACTTAGGGCTGTTCTAATTTTGCACACCATCTTGAAGAAATAATAGATAATGATAGATAATATAGAAATAAAGCACAATCATAACTAAAGGAGTTGGAAGAGTGCTCTTGGGAAAGGTAAAACATATATTCTGTGGCCAACAAGACCAATGAAAGCCCAGCTGAAAATTGCCGTTACTGGAACTGGAAGGGCAGCCAGAGGAGCAGCCCAGGTCCTCCAGGGCACGTATGGTTCATTTGGAATAATCTTGGACATAAATTTAAAGAAATTTTTATTCCCTCTTGTTAGAGATCACTTGTAATTGGAGTCACTAGTGGTAAGACAGTGCCATAAATTTCACAGAGTTGTGATCATTTTTCACTTCTTGTTTATAGTGAAATATGAAGATACAAAACTTAGCATCCTTTTAAAATGTCCTTGTAAGAAAGAGGCCAGTCCCACTTTTTCAGCTTTATAATCCAAGACAAAGGAAGTTCTTACTTTAACAAAGCTCATCTGGATAAAGCACATCTTGGTGAGCTCAGAGACTCCCTCGAAACCGTGGTTAACTGACTGGGAAAGCAGCTGTGCAAAGAGCATGTTGTTGAAAATCTTCAGGTTGTATCCACTGGGGATTTTGCAGACGGTACTTGGGTGGAAGCCGTGCTCATGGTTGGCATTCGAGCTCTGGACAAAAATGCTGCAGTCGCTCAAACACTCAACGAAGACCTCTCCTCCTACATAATACAGGTGGACACCTTCAGGAGAGAAGAGGGACCAAGAAGGATGTCATCCAACACAGATTGAAGCAGAAAGACTCCTGTTCTAAACTACTTCATGATACACTAAGATTGGGGTGTTGTTGCGTGATGGACAGAATCAGTTGGCAAGACAAGCAGACTCGGCAGTCCCAATGTTAAAGACACCATTTTTGCTGTGTGGCAGTCTTTTCAGGATTCCTGCCAGGACTGCCATCCTGCTACGCTCTGCATTGCCTGCTTTCAGACTGCCGTGCTGGGAGGGAGGGAGAGCTGCAGGGTGGGATTAAGAGCTGCAGGGTGGGGTTAGCATGAGAAGAATCAAAACTAAGCATTGGACTGTCCCGATAGCCACCGGCTGTTCTAAGGTCACACTAAGGAATGCAGAACCATCCAGCCCACAAAGACAGGGATTGTTACCCAAACAATTTGTTAGCACCTAATTGGACACTAGATAACCATGGGGAGAGGTGGGAACAAGGGGATGTTAACTGTATGTTTTGGGTGCAAAAACCTCAGATCCAGCTTTGTTTCTTCTGTAACTACTTGACTTTCTGTTCTAACTGACCAAGTTGGTCACTTCTATGGAGAGCAAAATGCTCCATTTAGCTTCCATACTTCTGACATGGAGTCCATTTTTATCTGGGCAAACTCTTGTCAACTCTGGGCTTGCTCAACATTCGGGGAGGGGGTTAAGACTTTGCTGGCCGGACCAGCTTCACTCTTCTGTCCCTGCCCCAAGGGTGGCAATCATAGTTTCTCTCCTGCTCAGACATCCCACCTTTTCTTCCATGTACATCAATCTATTAGAAATATTGCTAATATTGTGAGGTCCTTCATAAAAAGCCAAGCCAGTCACAATTTCACTGATTTTCTTGCAGCCCAAAGGAATGCTTTTTGTAAGCTATTGAGGATGCCCTCCCTGAACAGATACCACACTTAGACTTGGGCTGGCATGTGAGATGGAGTGCCAGGAAAGAGGCCTATCGGATGTACGATTGGTTCTACCTCTAGCCTAATCTACCTCTCTCGTTCTATTGCTATCTGTATTAACAGTGAAGCTTTCAGAGTCCAGCCAGGGATTTTGCTAAAGATTTGTGCCTCCCTTAAACTTTCCACATGTGGATCTACCACAGCTGGCAGCAGCTTGGTTAATCCACCCTTGAAGCAGGATCAGACCTCGCTTGTGTTTGGCACAAAACCACCAGGATATTTTCAGGTTGTATACTAAAGTGGGCAAAATAATAATAGTTCTATAACAAGACAATATTAAACCATATATATGTTGTTACTCAGAAAATTACTGTATAGATAATCTTGTGACCAAATTGGGACAGAAATTTTCATTTAAGTCATCAGGGTCATAAAGTGAATATAACATGAATGAACAATAAATTTTAAAATTATATTGACTTTCTCTTATATTTCATATTTTTATGTTGTCAAATAGAAATGCCGTGCATTCATTCTTATAATAACTTAAAAAATAAAAATTAACAAATAATAATGTTTACATTTTGGGAACAGACTTCCTAAATCATGAACAGGGCTTAGGAACAGGGTTTCTGAATCATAGGGCTGGAAATAACCTTGGAGGTCTTGTAACCCAACTCCCTGTCCAAGACAGGAGACCTTATACCATCCTGGCTGTCCAATCTTTTCTTGAAAACCCCCAGTGATGGAGCATCCACAACTCCGGGAGGCAAGCTGTCCATTGGCTAACTGTTCTATCAGGAAATTTCTCCTTAATTCCAGGTCAAATCTTCAACTGACAAGTTTCCATCCATTGCTTCTTGTCCTATCCTCAGGTGCTTTGGAGAATAAATGGATGCCCTTTTCCCTGGGACAGCCCTTCAAGTATTGGAGGACTGCCATCATGTCTCCCTTAAGCCTTCTCTTGGTTAGGCTAAAAATGCCTAGCTCTCTTAGCCTCCAGACCCCTTATCATTTTTGTTGCTTTTCTTGCATTCTTTCTAGAGTCTCAGCATTTTTTTTATATCGTGGTGACCAGAATCGGGCACAGTATTCCAAGTGTGATCTCACCAGTGCAGTATAAAACATTACAGTCACTTGATATGATCTCAATGCTATCCCTCTTGATGCAACCAAGGACTGCATCAGCTTTTTGGTAGCTGCAGACACTGCTGGCACATACTTAAGTAGTGGTCCATGTATCTTTTTCTCAATTACTACTGTTGAGCCAGGTACCACTATTCTATGCCTGTGCATTTGGTTTTTCCTGCCTAAGTGCAGGACCTTATTTTTCTCACCACTGAACTGACCTTGTTGGATAGAGCCAAATGCTCAAGTCAAGATTCTTCTGAATCTTGAGTCTATCTTCCAAAGTGTTGGCAATTCCCCCTCCCCTCCCCAAGCTTGGTGTCATCTGTAAATCTGATAAGTTCCCCTTTTATCCCATTGTCTAGATCATTTATGAAGATGTTAAAGAGCACTAGGCCTAAGACAGAACATTGAGGTACCCCACTGCATGTTTCCCTCCATATAGATATAGTTCCAGTGAGGACTACATGTTAATGCATTTGGTCAGCCAGCTGTGAATCCATCTGATGGTGGTACTGTCTATCCCACATTGTTCTGTCTTACTGAGAAATAGGCTGTGGTCTACTTTGTCAAATGCCTTACTAAAATCCAAGTATACTATATGCACAGCATTTCCTTGATGCATTAATTCAATCACTTTATCAAAGGCGGCCATAAGGTTTGTTTGGCACGATCTGGTTTTAATAACCATATGCTGGCTTCTAGTCATCACCTTATTCCTTTCTAGATGTTCATAAATCCACTGCTTGATTATCTTTTCCAAAATTTTCCCAGGTCAAGTTTGAACTGAGCCATTTCCCAGCAGTGCTTCTTTGCAATTACCTTTTCCGATGTGGTTTCGGGTGTTTTCTATGGAAGAATTCCTGTTAACATTAGAGAGCAATCCAAGGCAGAAGCGGTCCTTGTTTGAAGGATCTGTAAAGCCATCTATTAGTATACTTCGAGAAAAGGCCTGAAAAGTCTCTCCTACTCTTTTATTGAGTTCGTAATAGGCAATTGAGCACCACTGATCTGGTTCCTCATAACTCACAGGTTGGACATCTGGAAGAAGGTTTCACAGGTGTATGTAGATAGAAACGCAATAATACCAATGTGATTTGTTTAATATCCAAATACTCTTTTCACATACACATTTAAAGAGCTGGCATTGCCAGAATAGAAAAGAGATATACAGGTAGTCCTTGATTTATGAGCACAATTGGGACTGAAAGTTTCATTGCTAAGCTCATTGCTGGTCATTAATGAGTCACACCTGCCTCAAGATTTATACTCTCCCTCGCCACCCAGTTGTTAAGCAAATCACTGAAGTTGTTTAGTGAATCATTCAGTTGTTAAGCAAATCTGGCTTCCCTTATTGATTTTGTCAGAAGCCCTCTAGGAAAGTTGCAAATGGTGATCTTGTGACCACGGGATAGTGCAACTGTCATAGATACATGCTGGTAGCCAAGTGCCCAAATTCTGATCAAGTGACCATGGGGATGCTGCAATGGTCATAGGTGCAGGGACCAGTCATAAATCATTTTTTTCAGTTGTTAAATGAATGTTGGTAAGTTGAGAACTAATAGAAAGGACGATGAAAATGCAATAAAATTTAGTGTGTTGTGTCTATTAGTATAGTTACTGTATTTTTCAGACTATAAGATGCATCTAGCTTTTGGGGAGGAAAACAAGAAAAAAAAATCTGCCTCTGCCTCCCAGCAATTTGCCTCCTTGCAGCAAACAGCAAACAGCCTGGTCAGCTTCAGCACAGCCTGATTTAGCACGAGCAGCTGATTGGCAGTTGGATCTGCCTCCCGGAATACTGCCTATCAGCTGTTCCAGGCTGTGGGGATCGCCACCACCCATAGCCGCTGTCACCGCCCATCACCAAACAGGCCAAAAACAGGATGCACAGAGGCCAAAAATGGGGCACGGGGAGGCGGCTATCACTGCAGCCTGGAACAGCTGATAGGCAGTATTCCGGGAGGCAGATCCAACTGCCAATCAGCTGCTAGTGCTAAATCAGGCTGTGCTGAAGCTGACCAGGCTGTTTGCTGTTTGCTGCAAGGAGGCAAATTGCTGAGAGGCAGAGGCTGAAGGGTGGGGGCTTCGGCAACATTCGCTGTATAAGACGCAGAGACATTTCCACCCACTTTTGTGGGGGGGGAGTGCGTCTTATACACCGAAAAATACAGTAACTGAGTGTGTTACTTTCAAAAAGTGAATTTCATCATAGCAATCAAATATATTTTTATTACTTTATTTACTTTTATCCTACTTTTATAAGTAACTCAAGGCAGTGAACCTATCTAATACTCCTTCCTCATCCTATAATGTTCCTATTTCAATCTAGGATGTAACTAAATAGGGAACATGTGCACTGTTCTGTTCTCATCTCAAAGGGCTTTTCTGAACTTGGAACAGCAATGGAAACAATGAACTATGAGCCTTTTAGTGTAAAATAAGGCAAGCAACAGGAAAACACGATTTATATAAAACCGTAAGTAGCAAAATGTTCTTCCTTTCACAAGACTAGAAACTCTAGGTCATACTCAGGAATGAATGGCAGATTTTTTTTTTTCTATGAGGCATAATTAAATGATGGGCTTTCTTGTTATCAAATGAAGCCACTATCTTCAACAACACTAGCAATAATCAAACCAAGTTAAGCCTATTCTGGTTTCAGTCTATTAAGTAGAACTATTTTGGCTAAGAGCCCTTTGGAGGAAAATCCAACCATTCATGGGCTCACTAGCAGATCTTTACCTAGGGCAAAGGTCGGCAATCTGCAACTCCAGGGCCGCATGTAGTTCTTTTATCCCTCTGCTGTGGAGAGAAGTGGCCGCTGCCACTGCTGCCTCCTTGGCCTGCCAATTGCTCTCAGAGAGAGAGAGACAGAGAGACAGAGAAAGAGAGACATAGAGGCAGGCAGAAAGAGAGACAGAGACAGAGAAAGTGAGAGAAAGAAAAGATGAACAACTGTTGTGGCTCGTACGCGGCCTGTGCGGCTGGTGGCTGATTCGGACAGCGAGGAGGCTGGTGTGGTGCTGTGCCAGCAGCCTGTGCAGCTGGCACTCAAATCAGACAATGAGGCTGGAGAAGATGTGGTGCCAGAGGCAAGGATTCATCCAGGGCCTTCAGAACCTCCAGAAGCTCCCTTAAGTGAAGAGGACGAAGAGGAGGATCCTCTTCTCAATGCACGGGCGTGCAGAGCTGCCAAAAGGCAGGAGTGGCTCCTCAGGAGGTCTCCTCGAAAGCAAGGCTTGGGGCTAATTGGCCACTCCCTTAGCTATTTAAGGAGGAACGCCGACTGAAGCAATTTGCAGGGAACAACTTCGTTCACTCTCCTTCGTGCCTTGATCTTAGTTCTCTGCAAATTGCTTCTGGGCTTTCTGCCAACCATAGTAAGATTAAGATTATTTATTCTTTGGATTCTTGTAGGCTGTTAAGAAAGTTAATTAACAGCCTTTGTTTGGAAAAAAAACTGTTTAATTTAGTAAACTAAGGTTTGTACAGACTTTGTGTGCGCTGCGTTCTTTGGGGCCCGTAGCTGGGGCAGAACAACAACACACCCGAGGCCGGGTGCTGCAAGAGGTGGCTGGGAGGGGAGGGGTGAGGCGGGGCCAGGCGGGGCAAATAATTTAACAACTGGTTTTGTGCCCTAATGACCGGTTGGGTAGGCGTGGCTGGGTAGGTTATGTAACTGGGTGGGACTGAGTGATGTTGAGTTGGCCACGCCCACCCAGGCACACCAGTTGTTAAATTATTGGCTCCCGGTGTTTTCTTTTCTGTGGGAAACAGGTCCAGATGGCTCTTTGAGTGTTTAAGGTTGCAGACCCCTGCTCTAGGGGAAAAGCACAAGTCTTGACATACCTCCAGGTTCTCCAGTTCTCCCTCCACTGGGCAATGGTGGTGTTGATGAACTGCCTGGGACTTCCTGTGCAGGGCATTTGTTTGGCTTTTGTGGCATCTCTTTGGCATTAGAAGGCGGAAGAGATGTGGCAGCTGAAAAGAGAAAGCTATTTCATGACCAGCCTACATAAATAAAAAGAAATGACCTCAGAGACCATAGATATTTACTAAGCAAATTGATTGCATTCAGTCAGATGCTTGCCAATGTCTTGCCATGCATACAAAACTCGGAGGCCAGATTCTCTATTGTTTTTTTTTAAATTTCCAAGAACAGCATTGTATTAAATGCTTCCCTTGATTGTATGAATAAATCAACTTAATGTATACCCCGATTTTGACAAGAGCTCAGGAAAGCACACATACTATTTTTTCGTACCACAAAAATAATCCTGTGAGTTAGACTGGGCTGAGCAAGTGGCTCAGTCAATCAGCGCTTCTGTGCCCATGAGAACTGAATCCATCTGCTTGCTCTGGTTTAAGACTTTCATCAATTATTCCTTTTTGCTATTGTTGCTTTTATAATGCTGTGTTGCAACCTGTCCAGAAGCTTCAGAGCTGATTGAGCTATTAAAAAACTGTAAAATAAATAAATAAATAATATGCCATTCTCCAATCCAAATTCACAAAAGTGCTACAACAGAATTGCATGAATTTGTAGGTAGCACTGAATAGCAATAGCACTTAGACTTATATACCGCTTCACAGTGCTTTATAATCCTAAATGATTTAGAGTGTCAGCATCTTGCCCCCAACAATCTGGGTCCTCATTTTACCAACCTTGGAAGAATGGAAGTCCAAGTCAACCTTGAGCCTGGTGAGATTCAAATCGCCAAATTACAGGCAGCTGACAATCAGCAGAAGTAGGCTGCAATACTGCATTCTAACCACTGTGCCACCACAGCTCATTAGGTTGGTTCTTGCAGTTTAATGGTGCCAAATTCTGCATTTTCTAAAGAGAGGTTGCAATTGATTCAGTCCCACTGAGTGTTCAGGAACTGTTTTGCATACCTGTGAGCTCAGAAGGCCTTTCTGGGGCAGCTGCACTTCCTGGGGTCACTGAGTAGCCCATGCTGCTTGTTGATGCAGTGTGCATATTGTGAGATGCTGGGAAAGGGGTGCAGGGAGGCTGCTTTGCAGGATGAGGACCAGGATGAGTTGCACTGTTGGACATCTGTTGCTCACTCTCAAGAGACACATTTTGGAATGGGGTAAGGAGGCTGAACTGTGAGTTGAATTCACTCTGTCTTGGAACCAACACTGGAGGCAACACTACAACAGAAGTTTTGAAAGTAGAAAGAAACTCTTTGTTGTCAGGCATACAAATAGATTAGATATAGAACAGGGGTGAAATGTTCTGGTTCGGACCGGATTGCCTGATCCGGTAGCGATGGCGGCGGGTGGTTCGGAGAACAGGTAGCAAAAATCCCTGCCCCCCTCCCCCTGCCCAGCTGAGCCATGCGATCATCAAAGGCTTTTTTTTTTTTTTACTTTTAAGAGCATTTTTTCTAAAACCTCTTTGGCCGAAGAGGTTGTAAAAAAAATGCTTTTGAAAGGCTCTGACAATCCCAGCTGAGTTGCCTGATCGTTAGAGCCTTTTAAAAGGCTGATAGATGATAGAAAGGTAAAAATTACTGATATATGACAGATGATAAATAGGTGAGATAGATAGATAGATAGATAGATAGATAGATAGATAGATAGATAGATAGATAGAAACATGATCGCTAACAATGACAGATGATAGATGGATGAATGGACAGATAGATAATAGGCAGGCAGATATATATAAGGGAAGCAGTATGCGCCCTCCCATATTGGGGTAGACCAGGTGCTTTGATAGAAAAACACTTAAATCTCTTCCCTGACTCAAGCTGATAAAGGGAGGAGAACTTGTGGCTCAGAGGTTAATACAACTGCCTAATATGCAGGCAGCCCAAGTTTGAATCCGAGTAAGAGTATGGCTAGCTGATGAGAGCTAAATAGCTTGAAATAGATCTATACTAGTCTCGCTTTCTATCAGCAAATATAAATTTGATCTGTCTGTCTGTCCTATCTATCTATCTATCTATCTATCTATCTATCTATCTATCTATCTAAACTAATCTAGAGTTCTCTGTTGGTGATTTCAATTGTATCTTTCCTGCATAACATTCAGTGCATCCCAAGAAGGGAGCAAAAGGGACTTTACTATTTCAGCACCTTGGACAAGCACAAAACACAGGAAGAGGCACCAACCAAGGGCACACAATTACAAGATTTTCAGTATCTGCTTTGCTAGTTCCCAATGATCAGAGTGTGGCATCATAATGGGTTTTTAAAAGCACACAACTTTTTATTTTTTATTTTCATACCTGGCACACAGCAGGCCAATTTACATGATCAAATAAGCAGGTGATTGTAGAATTCACTTAAGACTAAGCTGCAGTTGAACAATTTGTTGAACAAATTCTTGTTTGTATCATTAAAATTCACCTTCAGCTATAAAAAAGATACTTCGCAAAATTATCTGACTAAATGTAAAAAATCCATTGTCTAAGGGGACACTAATTTTAATATCAATATATCACTTATTATTGCTACAGTATTTCTACCATTTCATCCATACTGAAAACTCACTCTCATGAAATATAAACAGCTACCCTGTTTCCCCCCAAATAAGACATCCCGATAATAAGCCCAATCGGGCTTTTGAGCGCATGGCAATAAGGCCAAGCGCTTATTTCAGGGTTCAAAAAAAAGTATAAGACAGGGTCTTATTTTCGGGGAAACACGGTACATAAAATAAAGAGCCTATAAAAGATCAAATCACAGCAGTCAAACAGGAGAGAAAGACAATCTAACCTGGGACTATTGCGGGGGGTGAGTTATTGCCAGCACATTGCCGATGCACTTGCAGTAACAATGAACTGGTCCCAGGAGGGAATTGCAACCCTTTGTATGCCTGTTGCCAAGACATGCTCATTCCTATTAATAAGAATAGCGTCTGAATCCCTCCCGTCTTTTCTTCTCTGGGTGACCTAACCCTAACTAAAAGTTTGCCTGTTGGATCTTTGATCTCTTTCTTCCAATCAAAACTTCTGTGTGGCTTCCTTTTTTGCAGATAGAATAATTATGCAACCAGGACAGGGCTGTCCTTTCCTAAACATGCAGCTGGCTGAATCACCTGGGGCTTCCACCCTTTGATAATGGTAAGGGTTGATGCAGACGTCCTTTTGCTTAGAACCAAAGGGGAATTCACAGCAGGCTAGAGGTTTCAATTCATGCTGAGACTGCAGGTCGGGCCAGCGCCAGACTCGGCAGTAGATGACATGTGGGTATCCTTTGCGGTGAAAGACTTGCATCCTTCCGTCCAAAGAGTGGGGGATGGTCACACACTTGCTGGGCTGCCCAGGACAGCTGAGGGCTCTCTCCAGTTCCTGCAAGGCACCCCTTTTCTTCATCAGCTTCTTCACCAAAGAATCCACTGCCATTTCAGCCCACTTTTCCTCCTCGTCTCCTTGCTTCCAGCCCAACAGCCTCTTCACAGCAGGGCCAGTAAAGGAGAACAGAGAGGTAAAACAGCTGTTGGAATGCATGAGGACTAGTAGATCTTCAGTGGTCCAATTTCTTCTTCAATGAAGAACTTCAGTATTTCTAGGAGTTGCTCCTTCAAAATCAGATGGGATTTTGCTGGATACGTCTAAGTGTCTTGAAGTAGAGACAAGTTCTACAACAGAGGGAAATTAGTGTCATCTTTCTCTTTTGAGTTGGTCACCTCAATTTTTAAGCAGTATCATAGATTTTCAATCACCAAGAGTAAGATGGCAGTTGCTGCAAAACATTACATATGTGTCCGTTATATAAATTACAATAATTATAACTCTGTATTTTCTCACAAAATACATTTTTAAAAAAATCTAGGAAATACTTATCAATAAAGTTGGAAGAATCCTTTTTTCTGATATTTCTTATCCAGGAAATGATGAATTAAAAATGCCTAGCAGAACTTTCTATTAATATTATTTTCATATTTTGGAAGCAATTACCATTCTCTGCACGTTAGATATGAGACTTTGCTGGGATACGTAATATTTACCAGAATGCCAGCAAGATTCAAACTGCAAACAGCAAAACAGGTTCAGTCCACTGTGGTAGGTGGTTATATTAAGTCTAATAATAATGAGATTTCAAAAAATCAAAATGATGGTGGCTGATGCTCCTTCTTTAATATGATCAACTGACTCATTGATAAAGCATACTCCTCCTCCTCTTCCTCCTCCTCTACATTGGGAGGATATCCAGGTTAGTAGAGCCTCTGGCAGCCTCCTCAGTGGAAGTACAAGCGAGATTCCACTCATTTCTGTGATCACAGTACTGAAATTCACCCTGCAGAAAAATACAATTCTGCAGGTTGGATATGTGATCATGTAACACCACATTCAATCAATCTGAACAAATACAGATATCAATGCAATACGCTGTAATTGTGAAAGAAACAGGAAGAATGTTTGCATTTATGGGAGAACCAATCAAATATAAGAAAACTATTATTTTAGAATGTGGACAAGGTATCCCAAAGGTGCTCTTTTCCTCTAAAGACAACTGGATTCTTGATTTTTCTTGAAGATGTTTTACTTTTCATCCAAGAAGCTTCTTCAACTCTATTAACTGGTGGGGAATGGAAGATATTTATAGTCTTTACGGTCAACCACTTAGAACCGAAGAAGGATCTTATTGGATGAGAAGTGAAATGTCTTCAAGAAAGATCAAGACAGTCCAGTTGCTTTTAGAAGAAAAAAAGCACCTTTGGGAGAACCATGATCTGGATGACTGAGAACCTCCATAGATATGTGGACAAGATATATGGCAAAACTTGCTGTTGTAGGAAAAAAGCAACTACAGGCTCATCCTTCGTTCACCAATGGAAAGAATATTTGCATTGGGTCATGTGGGTTCAGTCCTTAAACCAGATGTGACTGAAGAGGATCAGCCATGTGGATCCAGGAAAAACAGAGAGGCTTCAGGAGTGGCTGACTTGAGGCTCCAGAGGCAAGAGAAAAGCAGTTGAAATAAAGACAAAGTAGGTGAATCACAGGTTTTTTGTTTGCAAATGCATTTCCCTGGACCACATGCACAGCATGGAAAATGTTTTCTGCTTTAACCGACAATCCAGCCAAGTGGTTTAGGCCTGCATCAAGCGAATCTTGCTCTTTCCACTTCGTTCTGCCTTGGTCAGGTACCATCTTTAGTACAGGTAGTCCTCAACTTACAACAGTTCATTTAGTGACTGTTCAACGTTACAACGGCACTGAAAAAAAGCGACATGGTCATTTCTCACACTTATAATCTTTGCAGCATCCCCATGATCATGTGATCAAAATTCAGATGCTTGGCAACTGGTTCATACTTATGACCATTGCTGTGTCCCAAGGTCATGTGATCTCTTTTTGGGAACTTCTGATAAGCAAAAGCCAATGGGGCAGCCAGATTCACTTAACAACCGTGTTATTAACTTAAACCTCAGTGATTCACTTAACAACTGCGGCAAGGTAGGTCATAAAATGGGGCAAAACTCACTTAACAAATGTCTCACTTAACAACAGAAATGTTGGGCTCAATTATGGTCATAAGTGGAGGACTCCCTGTACAAGGGCTAGTTCTGGGCATCAGAGGGAGAATTACAGGTTTGCAATGGGCTCTCTTAACCTTGAATGCAAATGCAGAACTGACTGCCCTCATTGTTGCTGCTCTAGTTGCAAAAGCTCTTTGGTCCTAGAAGCTCCAAGTGCAAGGAAAATGTTCAATGCAAAATAAAGTTTTAGATATCACGGAAAGGCACATAAATGCTGAAATGCACAAGTGCTTCGCCTCATTTCCTATCAGGGACAGGAGAAAGCTGAAGTGATCCGCGGTTCAACCACCCCCAAGAGACTTCCAAAACCAAAGAATTATGGGGTTCATCCCACAATTTAAGTTGTGCAGGATCGTGTTGCTTTTTGAACTACAACTTTGAGAAGACTTTGAAACTTATAGCAACTTATGGAGAAGACGCCTGGGTCGCTTTGCTTTGCTTTGCTTTTGGGGCTCCACCAGCTCCGGCCAACAGTGGGAGTTTCTCCAGTTACACCGTTGCGCGCAAGGGCTTCTTCTTAAACAGTTTACACGGTGGTTTAGCTGGAGACTTACGGGCCTGCTAAACCGGCGGTTGCAGCGAAGCGCCAGGTCGCAATCTCCGAACGACTGGAAGCTCCGGACGGCCTGATTTGGGGCTTCACCCCTCCCTATCCAGCGCCTCTGCCGCGCCCCTCCCCGCTGCGCCTCGGCCGGCCGGAGTCCCGGAAAAGGCTGCGGCCGCTCCTTCCGAGACCCCGACGGCCCTGTCGCCCAACCCAGAGCAAAGCCCGAGAAAGGCAGCCCGTTGCTCCTTCCAGCGGGGTCGTTGGAGCCTAGGGCCGGGAGGGAGGAAAGCAATCAGCGCTGCAGCCATAGAGGCTGCATTTGGGGCGCCCTGCAGACCTGGACAGGGTTACTTGCAAAATTACACTTCACTCCATCAACCGTAGTTAAGGAAATCGTCGCTCCGTGCAAGGTGAACTTAGTTAGAGCCGCTTTATGTATGGTGTGAGGTGCGGCTTATTTTTTTTCCTTTTACCGCGATCTGCCAATTTCTGCTCATTTTGCAGGAATTGGTGCCGATTTTGCTTTTAACACGCCCGGTCAAAAGTACTATGCAAAAGGTGTGTGCACGTGCGACACTGTATATGCAGGGAGCCACAAGCGTGTAGGGAACATGACCGAAGAACGCTCGCTCCATGGGTGCGCCTCGAGGAGGAGAGCTCCCTTCCGAGCAACGAGGCGAATGCGGGAGTTTTAAGCGAGCAGGAGCTTCGTCTCTTCTTGCGATAACGGTGGAGCGGGCGAACGGAGTGCTGAAACGGACGTTTCCTAAGCAGAGGGTTAGAGCAAGGGCTCCCCTCACTTGCGTGTCGGATTCCCCCTTTCCGAAGATCTGGAACGGAGGGTCCAAAGCAGGAAGGCAAGCAAGGAATTTGAGAAGGATTGGAATCGGGAAGGTTCCCAGTGGGTGGAGAGGGGGAGGGGAAGGAGGTCGTAATTCAAGTCCAGTTTGGTGACAAGGCTCTGAATAAGGTTTCCCCACCTTTCCCTACACGGGTCCTGAGATGTTTCTCCAGAAAGGACTCTGGAAGGCTGTTTTTCCCACTAACGGTTCTAGGGGATTGCAGCTCAGGTACGCCACAAAAGAAATGGTGATCGCTGCCAGGAAGTCCCCCTTTGGGTGTAGAGACCACACACACAAAGGTTGAGGACGTATGTGGTGATTTTATTGTCTTACATAGTGAGACTTTCAACTTACAGTGTACTTGGCAGCATCTCATTGGCTACAGAATCTTCCAGGTAACTAGAGTCTTTGGTTAACCATTACTGCTTTGCTTAAACCCTTATAATGTTATGTAGGATTAACACACATCCCACTTCCTTTCCTCCTGTTCCTCTTGTTTATAGAGTTAGGGTCTTAATGCCATTTCCTGGCGCCTACATGTGAGTAACCTTCCTTATCTGAGGTTTGCCATCCAAGATAAGGAAACAGTCTTACACATAGCAGACTACAGGCTCCTACATGTCCTCTCTTTTTATTTAATTTTGAGGGAACAAAGATTTTTGTATATATCGCATTTGATGAGGAGGCAGAGAGAGAGGAGCAGGATGAAACATAGTAATTAATGAGGGAATACACTGAATAAAACAACAGCAAGCAACTAACATGACAATAACAATCACAGCATAAAAAAACAACTGCTTAAGCCAGGTCAATCAGTCAAAAGAAAAGGAAATAGCATGAACATTATTCTGAAAATATGATTGGAGTTTAGCAAGTTCATCTTCAATGGTTCTGTTCAAAGAGTGAAAATGAACAGCACATCCATGACGGCCAACAAGTTTACAAAAATCTTGTCGTGCTAACAAATAGTCAATAACAAAACGTTGCTGGAGCACATCCTGATTCAGGTCCTCAATTTCATGTTGGAGATCACGAACAATAGCAGCAGTGGCATTAATTGATTTCTCCAGGCGACATGTTAAACCCAGGATAGAATGTCTATTTTCTTGAGCTATTATTCCAGGGTAAGCCCCTAAGGTGATCACCCCAGTAATAGCTCCAGCCACAGCACAGCAAAAGGTATTGAGAGAGGACAGTTGTGTATCAATGATAACTTCATCATTACATGTAGGACCTAATGAAGCACGGCATTGTCGTGAAGAAGAAGAGAGAGCACCAATCTGCACAGGTAGGGAAAAGTAGCCAATAGCAGCACACTGATAGTTCTGAGGGTGTACATTGGTTGCATATTTGTCAAAAAAGAACCACACAGAAGTGTTAAAAATAGGAAAATTATCAGGATACATTTCAGGCACAATATTAGGCCCATACAAAGAAGAATTAAAGGTTCCCCAGAGCCAATAATAGTCAGTACAATAACTATAATTCCCTACTTTCGATAAACTATGTCGAGCCTTAGGGTAATCATTCCAATTGTTAAGCCAAGTATGGCGAGCATAACAGCAAAAACATAAGCCTCTAGTATATTGATTAGTACAAAGATAACGCCAATGAATAGAATTAAGTTTAGGATTAAGTTGTATAGGTTGAGTGTTATTCAAAGCAGTAACAGAACTAAGAGAAGACAAGAGAATACAAAAAAGAATTGTGACAGAATTAGCTGTAATAATAGCAAAAACAGCAGCAAGTAGATTTTCAGGAGTTTGAGGTAGATCAGCTTGACTCAATTGTTGTTGAGCTTGGTATGTTGTGGCCTTCACTTGCTTTCATGTGATTGGTGAGGGTCGTTACTCGGGATTAGGAGCAAGACGATACTTTACTAGCGGTCTTGTCAGTGGTTCTATTGTACGAAAGTGAACATCAACAGGAATATCTGAAAAAGAATCTACAAGAGTTAAATAATTCCAAGTAAATAAGGCAACAGATAATAAATGTTCTCCATTTCCCATTTTTCTTTTTAATAAAAAAAAACAGGAGTATGACTGCGTATATGCTCCACATATAAGGGATGTTGTCGATTCTCCAAATGATGCTTAAGAGACAAAAACAAAGCTAGCAAATTTATATCTAATGACAATGCACAATAAGAAAATGGCAAAGATTGCATAACTAAATAGACATATTGTGTATCAAGCACAAGATTAATTCATTGCGTAGGGAGAAGTTGTAAAGCTAATATAACAGCTGCAAGTTCAGCCCGCTGGGCGGAAGTTTGAATTGATGTGAATTTTGAATGCCATTGAGAATCAGCGTGCCAGACCACCACCCCTCTTTTTGTCAGAACATCAATAAAAGGAGTACGGACAAAAATAGTAGAAAAAGATGGGTTTAGAGTAGTAGTAACCACAATTCTAGGATCTTTTGGTAATGAATATAAAACTTCTCCAAGATAATTGGAGAAGGCAATTGATAACTTTCAGATATCATCATAAGATGATCATGCTCAATCTTTGTATGTGTGAAGGCAATGCCTATCAAATCCTGTCCAATCAGTTGCAAAGCACGCTTTCGGCCTTTTATAATCAATTCTTCTAAGGCAGACTGGTAAGGATAAATGTTTCTAGGTGGAGTAGCAGATAAATTTAACCACTCATGAATAGCTATTTTTAATGTGCTCTTAATGGTATATAAACACCCAGTAGGCAATGGAGAAGTAGGAAGAATAGTTACTTCTACTGACTCAATTTGGTCAACATATTGTTGCTAAACTTTGTCCAAGATGAGCTGTAAGCACCTTTTTTGATCATTCATCAAATGAACTGTATCACCAGGGGATTGTGCTCCTTTTAAAGGTTGGAATAGAGGTAACATATCACCAGTTGTTATGCAGAAGAAAGGCCTAACCCAGTTAATAATGCCTAGCAACTTTTGCCATTGAACTAAAGTATAAGACTTTTGTACTTTTAAGTCAGGCAATACTGGAATGGAAGAAGCTTTCAGTAATCTATGACCCAAGTATAAGTAAGGTTCAGTTTTCTGAATTTTATCATCTGCAATAAACAACCCCTTCTGTGCTACAATAGTTTTTAATTCCTGCAGAAGGGCTATAAAATCAAACTGAGGAGCAGCTATTAAAATATCATCCATGTAATGATAAACCAAATAAGATGGAAATTTCTCACGAAATGCTGGCACAAAGTAGGAGAATTAAGCATGCCCTGTGGTAAAACACGCCAGTGATATCGTTTGGTTGGCATGCTATTATTAAAAACATCATACGGGGGCAGTAGAGAGCCACTTAAGGGGAAAAGCCATCATCCAAAATCAATTTTGTATTTAAAAAAGAAAGGCGGTCCCGACCCCAAATATTAGTATGAATGACAAAGGGCGAAAGGAAGTAATAGAGAGGATTAAGCAATCTTTCATCTGAACCTCCCCTTTGCTATGAATTATTACATTTCCCCTGTTTTGGGGAAAATCAGTTTAGGGAGGGGAGCAGTGCATATCTGAAAGTGTTTGTACTAACACTGGAAGCTCTGGAAAAATTCTTAAGAAAAATCTAAGTCTACACGTTGCAGAGAGTGGCATGAAGTAGCTCTTGGGCATCGTTTTCCCCCCAGCTTTCATAGGAAAACAGGAAGGTCAGCCACACAGAATCTCTTCTGCTCTTCACTTACTATATTTAAATAAAGTCCAGAAACGGCACTGGCTGCAATCTGTTTCATTATATTTTGTTGAATAAATTACAATGGACTACATTCACATATAAGTAGGTAGTGCTCATTTATTGACTGTCATAGGGACAGGCTACGCTTACAGCAAATGTGCTTTGTGTTGAAAAACTAAAACGAACGCTGTAAGCGGCCGGTGCCCCGGGGCAAATGTCAGCTGCATGCATAACAATTGCGCGTGTTATCCTTGGAGATGCGCCAAGGAAAGTTGCCGCACGTGCCCACATCTACATTCCAGTACCCAGAAACTTCTCAGGCTCGACGACAACTGTCTTATCCGCTTTCCGCGCTGCTGCAACGCAGCCTGATGGGGCGGCCTCCCCTCGTACTGGCCAGCTCCTGCGGCAGAGGTGAGGAGGTCGCCCCGGGCTCGCAGCTCCAGCCCCCGGAAGGATCGAACCTCTGCAGTTGCCCCCGGTTGCAAGGAGTTTGGCGGGCGGCGCTTTAAAGGAGAGCGCGCGTTTTGCGCTCTCCAGTCCCGCGCGCGGCTTCTTTCGCCTGACGCAGGGATTCTCTGAGTGGGCCCGGAAAGTCCGTGGGACTTTCTGGGGTGGCAGTGACGCTCTGGAAGAGACGGCCATCACCACCTCTTTTGGACCCAGTGCAGCAGCTGCGTCTCCCCCAAGGGCCAGCTGCCCACCCGCTGGCCAGGCTGGGCCGGAAGTGGCATGTCTCCCATCAAGGGCTGGATGTGGAACTGGACCTCAGAAGGCAAGTTAGCTCCCTTCAACACGGCCTGGTGACCCCGACATGCTTGCTTGCCTGCCTTCCATGTGGCCTTCCCGGCGGTCCCCATGGCCAGCTTGCGAAGGCAGGCAAGCACCCAGGCGGGTGGGGCTGGGGCCAACCAGGGGTTTACATGCGCTTGGACCCTCTGCATATGTGCAAATCCTGCGCATGCACAGAGGCTCAAAATACCAGGTTACTTCCTGTTGACTTCTGGGCGGGCGGGTGGAGCCTCGAGCCCGCCATCGCTACCGCTTCTCCGAACCACCGGCCATCATCGGTACCGGATCGGCCGAACCTCTGTATCAAAGATTAAGGGACAGCCATCCAAGAAAGTAATTAACTTGTATTAAAAATACTTTAATTGAAGTTCTGGAGAGAAGAAAGGATAATGGGTTTATACAACAACTGATTCATTTTAGTTTACAGCAGTGAATGAATCTGCATTTATGTAAAATCAAGACATGTTAAATGAAGCACAATCTGTGGAGTCTTTGGTAGTCTCTGAGCTTGGTTATTTTCTTACAGGTGTTTCATTACCCAACTAGGTAACATCATCAGTGCTAGAGGGGAGCAGGGTCTGCTCTCTGATTATAGACAGTTCAATCCAGTCAAAAGACTTTATAGTTCAATCCTGAGCTACATATACAGGTAGTCCTTGACTTATAACCACAATTGAGTCCAAAATTTCTTGTTAAGTGAGTTTTGCCCCATTTTACGACTTTCTTGCCACAGTTGTTAAGTGAATCACTAGAGTTAAATTAGTAACACAGTCGGTAAGTGAATCTGGCTTCTGAATTGACTTTGCTTGTCAGAAGGTTGCAAAAGGTGATTTACATGATCTGAGTCAGTTGCCAAGCATCTGAATTCTTTTTAAAATATTTTTTATTAAACAGTTTGTCTTTAAAAACAACACAAAAAACAATCACACATATATAAAAACAAAACACGTCAAGACAACGTATTGAACATTACATACCCTCATTTTGTAGTGACATACATATTTTGCTTTTGTAGTTCTCTATTTTATCATTTCTATTTACTTCTCAATAGTAGAATAAGCACATTACTCCAACATAATTATAATTATAATACATTATAATATTCATTGTTCTTATCTACACATTTATATTCATTTATATTTACATCTCTTTATTTAATGTTATTCAGTTACTCCAATTTGAGTTTCATCAGTATTAAGTTAAACATTTCTTGTTCTGATTTCTATTTTCGAGCCAACTGTACATTTTATTCCATATTTCATAATAGTCCAAATCCTCTCTCTCTTTCAACTCTATAGTCATTTTATCCATCTCAGCGCATTCTAGGATTTTCCTAATTACTGTTTTGTCTGAGGGTACACTGTTTTGTTTCCAACTTTTTGCAAATGCAAAAAGTGCTGCAGTGAGTATATGTAGTGTAATGTATTGAAGGTTTTTGTTCGTTTTCGGGTTTCAAATCTATTTTTTGCTTTGTAAATTATAAAATTCTAATTTTATACCAATAAAACTTTTATACCAATAAAAGGTTTCTGGCTAGCAGGAACATCAAGACAAGATCTAAGGACCCAGGTCTCTTTGGAATCCAGGTGCACGAAGGAGTGATTGGCAGGATATGAAGAGCCAGGGATTGTTTACCCCATGCTGCAACTCTTGAAGGTGGCATCAGCAGTTGTACAGATAAGAATGGTCTTCCACAGAATTTCCCCTCTTCTTTGGAGATCTCTCATGGATTTTTGCGCCCAGACGCAGTTATGCAGATGGCAATGCCCAAGACTACCAAGAGCATTCCCAGAACAGCCCCTACCAAAGAGAAAAAGCAGGAAATCAACCAAAGCTACAAACTTTGTTTTTGGGATAGAAGAACATGGAATATTCCATTCAACCCTGCTTATTTTGACTAAATATAAAGCAATAAGGAGGGCAGAATTTGCATCTGCTCAAGCCATTAGACACCTACTTGTGCCACCTATGTTTTCTCCAAGAACTTTCCCTGTTGCCACTGTGAAGACCAGGGCCAAGGAATTGCAAAGAGGCACAGCCAAGGTCAGATCTGAAATGGAAAGTGGAACATTTAATGCAGAATCATCTGATCAAAACAAATAAAAACCACCGAGGAGATAACCCTAATCAAATGGAAACTTCATCTGAAGGTTGTGTTTGGCTGGTGAATGGCTGGGGAGTAATTCTGGTAGGAAATGTTAGATCTCCACATTCAGGGATTTTCACATAGGACGATATTGACAAGATGGCAGTTACTTCCAATACTTGATTCTGCAGCAACTGTCCAGCAAGCTTCGCTTATCTATCTATTCTTTAACTGGTCTTTTTCAAACATATTGGATCGGAATTCAAGAACTGCAATCAACATATCTTGAGGGCAACAAAGGTGCCCACAGTGGGGCTCAAAGAGATCTAGATAGTATCTGATAATGTGATTAAAACCCAGCTCCTTTTGAATGTGCATCAGAATTCTCAATGGTTTTTTTTAATGAAGATAATCCTGCTCTGAAATCTATTAAGAACTGAGTTACTTCCATTTTGGTGATATGGTCACAGAATTAGATTTTTAAAATTATGTCTTTCTGCAGTAAGTATCTGAATAATCCCCCACAATGATCAGAGTTCCCTCCTTCCCCCAAATCTTGACACTGGCAATAATTAATTAAGGACCAACCTGTGGACGCTAATGCGAGATAGTAGATGAATGAGCCACACTGGTTTACAATAAATGGTAACATGTACTGTAAGGAAAAAAAAATAGTTGGATGGAGAGATTTATTTATTTAGAGTATGGCTGGTCACACACAGTATTAAAACACTTCATTTTTACAAGTTAAAACAATAAAAACAATAAAAAAAAGCAGTAAGAAAACCTAAGAGGAAAACAGAAATAACAGAAATTTCAGTTTAATGTTGAGTTTGGAGATCCAGTCAGGATGGAGAGAGCTTCAGGGTTACTTAATTTAAACCAATTTCTAATTACCGGGGAGAATGCAATTCTTTCTTTTATGTACACCGAGAGCGTATGCACCAAGACAAATTCCCTGTGTGTCCAATCACACTTGGCCAATAAACTATTCTGTTCTGTTCTGTTCTGTTCTGTTCTGTTCTATTCTATTCTAATGCATCATATATATATATATTTTCAAATGTGTTCCTGGGTCAAAACAATTTTAAAAGATTATTGCTGACTAGTGGCTTTTTGAACAGTCTTTTGAGAAGAAAAGAAGCATTATTTTTTTCAAATATTCTGAATTATAAAGAAAAAGAAATTTAGACAAGAAATTACTTCTCCATTGGGAAAGCTACTAAATGCTATAATTAAAGCAGCAGTTAATCAAAGCCTGAGTATAACAAGTAAAAATAGAATGAAATTTAATACCATAGTAGTATCTTATCATGTAAGATTTAGAAAAAAATTATCTTGTGATGTGAACAGGCTGGTGCAGTCCAGGTACCTTCCCCCAAACCTGGCCAGAGATCATTTACTTCTTGGGTCAATAGGAACATTTTGAATCTGTTTCAGAGTGAATCTTATCTTCCTTTTTTTAAAGAGAAGTGTTTTAATTAAAAGACTGTTTTTAAAAAAGGCAGGAGGGATGGTCTAATGAGCATGAAAAGAAATGTCTGCAGGTATAAAGGTGCCATGTTGTGGCCCCAGGCACAGGTAATTCAGATTCCTGGTGCAAAGGAGCTTCAGGTAATGGTAGGGGTGCCGACTAACAAGGACTGGGCTCTGTAAGTGGCCTGATCTCAAAACAGTGGGACACTCAGCATAGGACTGTTTTGAATTCCATGATGGAATGTTTTGCACTATAGAAGAGGGTTTCCCAAACTTGGCATCTTTAAGACGTGTGGACTTCAACTAGCTGGGGAATTCTGGAAATTGAAAGCCACAGATCTTAAAGTAATTAAGATTAGAAAAAGCAGTGTGAAGAATGCTTTGTAAAATGGCAAATACCTTGTAATTCAGGCAAAGGAACTTTATTTCTGCCAGCATCTGCTGAAGTCTGCTTTCTCTCTTTACCTGCTCCAGACCCACAGTTCCTCTTTTCAAAAATGGATTTGTTGTTCCCCAAAGAATTGCTACCAAAATCAAAGCTGCAACTTCACCTACAAGATGACATCCCATAGACAAATTGTTTAATGAAGTACTCACAGCAGGGGTTATTCATCCATTACAACTGTATTCTTTGGTAAGAAAGACAGTAGCTAATCAATGAATAATCATCCTTCTCTTTCAATACAAATATATTGATATTTTAGATTTTAAGCTGTGTTAAGTAAATTGCATCTTGTTTAGCATTAAATCCTATTACAGGCAAGTCTTGAATTTACCAACGGTTATTTAGTGACCTTCAAAGTTACCACAAACCTACCTAGAGGATTTATGACTTTGTTTAATGACTGCCTGAAAAGTTTGTAAAATCATATTGGTCACATGATTGACCCATTTTACAACTGTCACTACTTACAACTATAGAGGGCAGGCTCCTTTATGGTTGTCTGTCAAGGGCTACCTGTATATTAGTGAGCTTTGCTTATCCCTAAAATCAAGGAGCAAGTGGTACAAAAGCAAACATTCTTGAAGGAGAGATCCAGGGCCCCTGCACTGTTAAATTTTGCAGACTGGCACACCCCACAAAGATGGAAAAGGATTTGCAGCACTTGCTTAATCCTCCTTTCAATTGCCCTAATCCCAGGGGTGAAATCTAGCAGGTTCTGACAGGTTCTGGAGAACAGGTAGCGGAAATTTTGAGTAGTTCAGAGAACTGGCAAATACCATATCTGGCTGGCCTCAGAGTGGGGTGGGAATGGGGATTTTGCAGTATCCTTCCCCAGGAGTGGGGAGGGAATGGGGATTTTGCAGTATCCTTCCCCTGCCACGCCCACCACGCCATGCCACGCCCACAGAACCGGTAGTAAAAAAAAAAAATTGGATTTCACCACTGCTTAATCCTAACCCCGTTCAACCAGGTCAATAATCAAATTCAAATCCAAATCCAATAGATGCGATTCCCAACCGCTGAACTGCCAAGCTCTGCAACAGAACAATTTGTGCTTTCCATGCACGAGGCCCTCAGGTGTGGAGCTTTTAGCCTGGCCAGAATTTAACTTGAGCGGGTCTCATTTGTCTGCCATTTGTCAGAAATGGTGTAGGGTTGTCCTGCTTGAGCTGGGGGAGGGGGTTTGGACTAGATGACCTCCAGGGTCCCTTCCAACTCTTGTTAATCTGATCCTAATGCCAAGAGGGCCTCGGAGGACTCCTCTGCGCTTCCTCCCCTCCCTCTTCCCGCTTCTTCTTTCCCCAACCAGGAGGGATGGAGGAGTGGGGGGAGGGGGGGTCAGCGTCCCTCCCCAATTTATAAAGCCCCTCCCCCCACTCATTGGAAGCAATTCTGAGTTCCCTGGGGGGGGGAGGGGGAAGGAGGACAATCTACCTCAGAGGTCTTCAAACATGGCCGCTCTAAGACTTGCGGACTTCAGCTCTATGCTGACTGGAGAATTCTGGGAGTTGAAGTCCAAACGTCTTTAAAGCGGCCTTGTTTGAAGACCTCTGATCTAGTTACAACGGTTTCTCCTGGGGGGGGGGGGAATGGAATGGTGACGCAGATGGCATGACGCTAACTCGCTTCGGCCTGTGGCCTCCTCAAGCTCCGGAATGACAACTCTCATCATCCCCAACCAAGCAGGACGTTTACTGTTATCCCTAAATGCCTCCGGCGTGGAGAAATCATCGACACTTCTCCTTTTAAAGAAAGAATTATTTTTCCCCCCCCCCCCTTTCCCCCCTCCCTTCCCCCCCCCCCCATTTCTGAGGCACCGGAAGCGGCTCCCTCACCCAGCGACGCCATGGCGACTAAAGAGTCCCGCAAAGCATTTCTTCTTCGTGGGAAACAGCCGCCAGCGGTGTCGCTCTAGGCCGGGGTTTCCCCTCAAACTTGGCCGCTTTTAAAGACTTGTGGACTTCAACTCCCAGAATTCTCCAGCCAGCATAGTCGTACTGTACTCCAGCATAGCTGGCTGGAGGATTCTGGGAGTTGAAGTCCACACGTCTTTAAAGCGACCAAGTTTGAAGACCTCTGCTCTACGCATATATCTCTATGGTTCAGCCCTAAATTCCGCTCTCTGAGATTCAAGCCTCGCTTGTGGGGCGGGAGGAGGGAGGGGGAGTTGCGGCCCAAGAGAATCAGTCAATTGTGTATTGCCAAACTTTTGTCAGAGGCCCAGAGTGAGGGCGAATTAGGTCTCTCTACATCAGAGGTCTTCAAACATGGCCGCTTTAAGCCTTGTGGACTTCAACTCCCAGAATTCTCCAGCCAGCTATGCTGGAGTACAGTACCACTATGCTGGCGGGAGAATTCTGGGAGTTGAAGTCCACACGTCTTAAAGCTCCCAAGTTTGGGGAAGCTTCCCCATGTAATGGTCCTTCCGATCTCAAATGATTCGGTTCATGCCAACTTGTTTGGTTAAAATAAAAAAAGCCGTTGAAGTATAGTGAAGCGTTATGCAGGGGACCAGCTTTCCTCGGGCAGATCAGAATTATTAATCTTTCATAAAAATTATACATTCTTGATAGGAAACTCTTACTTGCCCCACCAACGGAGGCATTCTGAACAGCACCGGAAGTGAAGATGTAGCCAATACGCTTTATTGTTCTCTAAGCCTTGCAGGGCCACTTCCTTTCTCCCTGACCCGGAAGCGATGCATTCGGCCTCACCCCGGAAATGGTTCTTTGTGCCTTCCGTTCATGCTTGTCGGCGTTGTTTCCGCAGCTATGGTCAGTCTCTGGGTCTCTTGGATTCCTTAATGTTAACTAGATAATATGCATGTATTATATATTTTATATTTTATATATTTTATAATAATATATATTATATATTAATTGTAATATTTTATATATTTTATATATTATATGTTATATATATATATAGTTATATATATTGTATTATATAGTTATATAATATATATTATAGATAATAGTTAACTAGATTAAGTAGTTAAGTCAGATAATTAATTCAGACGTTGGTCGATTTCCATTGGGATGGGAGGTGAACCCTGTAGTTTTCCAGGGCTGAAAAAGTTATTAAAAGTTATTAGGAAAAGATCTCGCAGGGTTTACGGGGAAGTTACTCCGGTTGAACTCAGTGGCGCCTCTTCCAGTATAAACGTAAACGGATTAGGGTCCTCAGTACGAGAAAAGATTCCCTAAAAGAAGGAAAATCGGTATTTTTATAAGCATTGTCCCAGTGCTTCGATTCAGAGGGTCTTGGCAATAAAATAAAATTAAATAAAGCTGCCTCAATAAAACCAATCCATAACAACAGAAAACAGAATAGCAAGATTCACTGCTTGGGAAAGCAATATAACGGCAGCCTAAAAGATTCTTCCTGGATTTGTTTTGTATCCTAACTAATAGTAGCTCAAAGAAAGAACAAAAATAATGAACCTAAATGTTCTACTAGAAGAATCCTGCACATCTCTGGGCAACTCATTCCTCTGAGTGAGCACGAAAATAGAAGGTCATTATACTCAAGTTGTAATTCTGGGCCTATTTACTAGGAAGTTCACAGTAAATGTATTGTCATTTTGATTTCTCAGTTGTTAAACCTCTTAAGGGATACTTAGCTTTTCTTTTAAACCTGGATGATCTCATCTTTTTTCACCTACCCCGGCACCTGTCTACACATCTTCATGCTTGAAATAAATTTAAGATATTACAGTACATCTTTAGAGTGGCAAGGTGGCCTGGAGGTGGAACTCTTGACTCACAATCAGGAAGTTCTGAGTTCAATCCTAAACAGATATTTTTCTCTCTGGCCACGAAGAGAAAATACCTGCTGCAGATGCCATGTAGGCACCAGGAAGGGCAGGCAGCTAACAAATGCTCAGCTCCATTCAGTCAACCAACTTCACCCCGAGTCAGGTGACTGCAAGGGATTACAGGATTGTTAAACAAAAAACTCAGTACATCTTTAAATTTGGCCATCTTTTCATTTTATTTATTATTTTCTTATAGAAGAAAAGTAATTGTCACCTCTTCCACCCCTTAAAACTAACACCTGGAATTTCAATTCTGTTGTTCAGCACATTATTTTATCCATCTTTTCACAGCTGAATAGCAGCTGCAGCATTATAAATGACAAGGATATTTTTTAACATTGTCATTGGCAAGTAAGCAGTGTTAACATCTTTTTAAAAAATTTCTCTTTACAGAAACCTATTTTGTTGCAAGGCCATGAGAGGTCGATTACTCAGATCAAGTATAATCGGGAAGGTGATTTGCTTTTTACAGTAGCAAAAGATCCGGTATGTTATCATTGAATGGTTACCTTAGTTTGTGTGTATTTTTCATTTAGCCTAACAGAATCTCTTTCTACTATCCTAATAGATAGGACAGAAAAATAGACACATTTTACTTCAAAAATCAGTTGCATCCTATATGCCAACAATGGATCTGTATCTTTTGCATTTCATGAAACTTGGGCACCCTGATTTTTAAATCTTTCTCACCCTAAAGAAAGGTGCATATGATGCATATGATTGTCTTTGAAAGAAAATAAAAAAAATTCTGTGGTGGAAGAACACAGCTGGTTGTGGGGTGAGTGTGTCAGCCACAGTTAAAGGTTTTATTTTGTTTTATTTCAGTGAATATTGGTCACCACAGTCTATTAAAATCTAGTCAGAATGGCTTTCACAATATTCTTCACAACCTGTAATATCCAGGAGTTTATAATCAAGAGTTTGTGAAACCTGTTGTCAATGGATTTAGTTTTATTAATGATTGTCCTTCATTCATCGTTAATTAATTTTATTATTATTATTAATATTTATTGAATTTCTATACCGCCCTTCTCCCGAAGGACTCAGGGCGATGAACAGAATAAGATTTCATATACATATAATAATTTTTTTTTATAAACAGTAAATAATAAATTGATGTACCTGCTAAGGTACCTGGTACCTTGGTGTACCTGCTAAGACCTTGGCATAGAATTTAGATGTTTATGCTAGCCCTGCTTGTTGAAACAGAAAGGTCTTCAGGGCATGTCGGAAAGTGCGAAGATCTGGGATTATTCGTATTCCAGGGGGTATTTTGTTCCAAAGAGTAGGTGCCCCCACAGAGAAGGCTCTCTCCCTTGGAACTACTAGACGACATTGTTTTAATGATGGTACTATGAGTAGGCCTACTCTCTGAGAGCGTATTGGTTGGTGGGAGGTTATCGGTTGCAGCAGGTGATCTCGTAAGTACTCCGGTCCTAAGCCATGGAGCACTTTAAAGGTAAGAACCAACATCTTGAAGCGCACTTGGAAGGCCACCAGAAGCCAGTGCAGCTCACGTAGAAGAGGTGTTACATGTGAGCGCCATGTTGCTCCCATAATTACTCGCGCGGCCGCATTCTGGACCAGTTGGAGCTTCCGGGTGCACTTCAAGGGGAGCCCCATGTACAGAGCATTGCAGTAGTCAAGTCGGGAAATGACGAGGGCTTGAGTGACTGTGCGTAAAGAGTCCTGGTCTAGAAAGGGACGCAATTCGCGAATCAGGCTACTACTTTACTACTTTCTTAATTTTGCTCAGTGTATTATATACTCAATTCCAAGTCAATTTATCTTGTCTCTAAGTTATTGACTAATCAAAATATTTAACCAGGAAGTTGTTATTATGTACCAGTTTTAATATGGTTAATGTGGTTTTATTAAATTTACCTTATTTTTCGTTTATCAGATTGTTAATGTTTGGTACTCTGTCAATGGTGAGAGACTTGGCACATACACTGGCCACACTGGTGCAGTCTGGTGTGTGGACGCTGATTGTATCCTTTGGTTTTAGTGTACAAAATCACATTTTTTCAAAGTTGCTTGAAAATAGCTCATGTATATATTGGAGCTGATCCTCCTGCCTGTCTCTCCCCCTCTCCCCCCCCTCCCTCTCACACACAACCCATGAATCATTGTGTCATTATTTTCAGAGATATTTTCCTACAGATTCTTTAATGTCTCGGAAGTAACGCATGTTGAACTGTATAGCACAGTCAAATGACAGTAGTTGATCACAGGAATTGTTTTATTTCATTTTGCATTCTCGAATAAAATGCATTATGATAAAGTTTATTTCATAACATAATTTGCCAAAGGTCAATTTCACAGGAATCGTGGGTTTCGGCTTTTGGAAGCATTCTGTAAGTTAACCCATTTGAGTTTCCTTGGTTGAAAAAGTTCTGCTCTACACTGCACTGTTTTTCCCAGTTAAAGGTTACAAAGTTTTAGTAGTGTATGTGTATTTAATTTGCAGGGTTTGTATTTTAAAACCATGCAGTAGTTCATTTCTGTTTCCTGCTGCTCCTCATTATGTATTTTGTGTGGCTCCTTGACTGCTCTCTTCAGGGGACACAAGACATGTCTTGACCGGCTCAGCAGACAACAGTTGTCGGCTCTGGGACTGTGAAACAGGTGAATGTCAATGTATGAGTAGTAGGAAGAATGTCCTGATTATGCAGGATGAAAAATGTAATGTTAGGAAAGAGGAGAATGGAGTTTGACTGCTTTCGCAGAATTTGCATCTGGAAACTCATGTCAACATTAGGATTCATGTGTAAAGATTGTTACAAGTTGTAGTGGGGTCTCACCTGAATCAGCTTCTACCCAGATTGTTGGGGACAATATGCTGACACTGAACCGCTTAGAGAGGGCTGTAAATCACTATGAAGCGGTATATAAGTGCTATTGCTATTGAGCATGAGGGGTGGGAAGGAGCATGCTGATCTCACTGAGTGAAAAATAGCCCTCTTTGCTTTTGTGCTAATGCAATGTTGCAGTGCTTGGTTCTTCTTGCTGCACTTGCCTTTTTACAGTACAGGTAGTCCTTGACTTAGAACCACAGTTGGGGCTAGAATTTCTGTTGCTCAGCAAGGCAGTTATCGTATTTTTCGGAATGTAAGAT